TTGATCCCTTGTTGGGTGTTGGCTTCATGACTCCCTTGTTGGCTTCCCTCTGGATAAGTTGACCCAATTCCAATTGGGCTCTTTTTTGGGCCTTCTTGGTTTATTAAATTGGGCTTGATTCAATCAAATTCAGGTTCATCATAATATAGTAGAGTTATCATATCATATCTAATGAGTTTTATTTTATTTGGGTTACTCGTCAACACCAGTAGGTAAGAGTGTTAAAATATGGTATAATTTATTAACATGATATGAATACGACACAAAATTAAAAAATTTAATTCTCTTCTGTAAGTCACATCTTTTATAATTGAGTGGACACGATTAATAAACGAATAGAATATAAGAAAAATTAAAAAAAAAAATATGACATAACTCGTTTATAAATTGATTATATATTATTCATACCCGACACAAATAAGTGAAATATTTTTTAATATGACCTCGCTAAGATCCATCTCACCCAACCCGATTGATAGGTTTGCCAATAATTTTACATCAAGTCATTAACCATTGCGATAATTTTTCTTTAAATTCTAAAACGACTCTTTTATACTAGTTATTATTATTATTTTATTATCCGTACGGTACATCCATTCCAAGCTTCACTGCCAACACTTTTTTCCAAATACGCCCTTGCCTTTCATTTCGGGGATAGCTCTCTGTTTTTCGCCCTAATTGCGAAACAGCCCCAAGTCCAGGGTTTCCATCCTCCTGTCAATCCTTCCGGCGCATTTTCCGGTAAGTCTTCACATATCACTCTCTAAGTCAGCTGGGTTTCGTTGACTAATGCTAATCATCACATTAATCTCTCTTTTTCGGAGCTTACTACATCAGAACACTGTAATAACAATTTTTTGTTGCGTTCTGGCACTTCCCGGACTGTTTGAAGTTACTGCTTGCATGTGAGTAGTTTAGCTTAATATGGTGTTTTGGTAAATGGCTTTTTGTTTTAATGATCATAGAAGTTGGACTTGTGAACTGTATTGCTGAGCTTTGAATTTTGTTGAACAGTAGCAAAAGTATGTAATTGCATTCTATTAACAGCATTTGGTATCCATATCTTTGAAGGATGCTTCTTGAAATTGTTTACAACCTAATTGACCTTTTCTTTGTTGAATGACAAATTGGTGAGACTGTTTCAGGATAATTCAAAATTTTCAACTCAATTATATTTCCCCTTCTGGTCAAACAAAAAAAATATATTATACTTCCCCTTGAAATTGTTCCCATAGTTATAATCTTTAGGAATGACATGCATAATGCAAGTGTTTATCCCCTCAATTTGTCTTCTGTTCTTAGTTATTTTCTATTATCACAAAACTCCCTCCCTGTGGCAAAATGTCAATTATGCTTGCCAATGGATTGGATATGGATTGAAGTGTGCTATATCTGAATCCGAATGCAAATTTGTCAATTTGATTTGATCCAATTGTTCGACCTAGTTGAAAAAATTAGTCCATATCTGAATCTGTTAACACTTATAAATACGAGCCAATCTAACCATCATTCCATCACATATACTTGCAACCTACAACACATTTAGTCATTCAACTTCCTTTGATTTAGCAAAAAGACTAAACATAGCCTAATTTCACATGAGTTTCACGTATAATAAACAAATTTCAACTCAATTTATTAGGTTAATGTCAGTTCAACTTGCTTCAATATAATCAATCAATAAACAATATAAGCTCAATATAGCCACAATTTCACCAAGTTATCCATTAAATCCAGCCAAAAAATGTAAAATCAAAGAACCAGATATGAGCTGAAGCATCGTTGGGATCATGGATTGCATGTTGTTGACGAACTTGCTTGACTTGACATAGGACTCGCTTACGGTCGTACATACATCCAATAGTCGATGGATTGGTCGTAATGACAGAATCATATCCATCAAGAAGGGGCTGTGTAGGGCTTTTGGTGAGCGAATGGAGGAAGAGGAGGCATGAGAGATGAGTTATAGGGAAATACAGAGGGAAGAGTTCTAGTGGTGAGAGAGAGAGAGAGAGAGAGAGAGAGAGATAGAGGAGCACATGATTCATGATTTCAACACTTGTGGGGCTTGAGAAGACTCTAGGAAGATGGACCGAGAGAAAGGAGCAATAAATAAAGAAGAAAAGAAAGGGGGAAGAAAGAGAGGGAAATAAAATTGGACAAGTCAGAACAATAGCGTGATATGACATTATGAGTCTTCTGACTCAACTTTTGCTTGTCTCGATGCACAAATATAAATATGAATATGGATATCTGATATTTATATATGACATTATTTTATTATAAATTGGATTGGATTGTTAGATATCCATATCCAAATCAGATTAGAGTAGCTTAAACGGGTTCCCATCAGATTCGGATTATCAAATTAAAAATTCAATTAATTTTTGCCTAAAGGATTTGGATCAGATTCTGATCAAAATCCAGTCCAGTGACAGGCCTAGTGCCAATGTCATGACATAGAAGAACTGCTTCCTTTCTGTTGTTGTTGCTATGCTGAACTATGATGTTTGGAATAGAATAGATCAATGGTCAAAAGATGGAGTCCATTGCAAAATGGGGTGCAGACGTCCAGTTCCTGTCGTCAATTACTGCTGTGTTTACATTCCTTAAAAAAGACGATGAATGGATCTTATTTTTATTGGTTATCATCCAAACATCTGCAATCTTTTCAATTTACTAGTTCTTTTGACTTGCTTGATCTTTGTATTATGATTGTGACCAGCAAATTTTCATTTAACCTGAAATTCATTCTTGGATATATATTTCTAAAACTATTTATCTAGAGTCCTAAACCATTTATCTTTTCTCCACTTGTTCTTACTATTCGTGAGAGCTTCTTAAGATGTATACTGTGGCAAGGCGGAAGCTTATATTAATCTGCCAATCGGGTGGTGAATTTGAGACAAGTGATGATGGGGCCTTATCATATGCTGGAGGAGAGGTGAACGCCATGAATATCAATGATGAGACCCAGTACGATGATCTGAAGTTAAAATTGGCTGAAGTATGTGGTTTGGACTACAATTCAGTGTCCACCAAGTACTTCCTTCCTGGAAACAAGCACCATCTCATCACTTTAAAGAATAACAAGGATCTAAAAAGGTTGATTGATTTTCATGTGGATTCAGTAACAGCTGAAATTTTTGTTTCTGGAAGCAAAGGTTTTGATCATGATGCCCTGATATGCTCCAGCAGGTATGTTGTCAGGATCACCGGTGTGGCATCACACCTTGGTGTTATTTTTTGGGGCAAAATTATACCATCATTGTAGTTACTAGCCTGTTGCCAGTTACTTCATGCCACATCACACCAAGGACCCTTTGCATTAGAGAAACAGTGTTCTGTGAATCCCTAAAATAGCCCTCACTTTTGAGCAATTGAGGTCAGCAACACTTTTAACCATGATGTGGTTGTTAGTGGTTGGCATTTGGCCAGTAAGTACACAGTTTAACGTGCTTGAATGCAATCACACTGTTGATATTTGCAGGGAGATTCATGTAAAACTAGCTGAGACAGTAAATCGTGTTGTTGCGCCCATAAACGTTGCCAAGTCAACTATAGTCAATGTTGCAAATCGTGTTGGTTCTAATGTAGCCCCATCAGACTGCTCCACAACTGCTCAGAGCCCTACTGGCGCAACCACCGAGTCAATCCCTTTATCCGACTATGGTGATTATGATGATTCAGATTATGCTCCACGCTCAACTGTTGCAGATGATTCAATTCCTGATGGGCCAACGGAAATTTGTATTACCCCTGCAGATGCTAAAAAGCAAAGGTGCACTGCCTCTTGGAAGTTTGGTGCCAATGGTCCAACCATCGTTGCGGTTCCTGATGTTGCCTGGGAGAGAGAATCACAGAAAAGTAATATGCAAAGTCAGACTTTGGTTGCAGTTGCTGATGACATGGCACACAAACGAGATACTGTACTTGGGCAGAATTATTTTGACAACCCATCTAGCAATGCAATCTCCACTAATGATCCGCTGGAGAAACGAGTTTTGTCTTGGAAAGATGGAGTTATTCATGTCGGTCAGGAATTCAGTAGTGTCGAGGAGTTCCAAGATGTGCTTCAGAAATATGCTGTGGAACATCGGTTTGTCTACAGGTTAGAGAAAAATGACACTGCATGTGCTAGTGGCAGATGTGTTGCAGAAGGGTGTTCTTGGAGGATTCATGCATCTTGGGACCCAGCTGCTCGGTCTTTTCAGATTAAAAAGTTGAACTCACACACTTGTGGAGGGGAATTGTGGTGGTCTGATCATCGGGCAAAGAATTGGTTGGTAGGCATAATAGAAGACAGGTTCCGAGATTCCCCACATCAGAAGCCCGATTTTGGGTTGGAATTTGACTATACGCGAGTATGGCGTTGGATGGAGGATGCTCGGGAGCAACTTCAGGTATCGTATAAAGAGGCATATGATCAATTGCCACTTTTTTGTGAGAAGCTGGTGGAGGCAAATCCAGGTGGTTTTGCTAAGCTCATCACAAATGACGACAAGAGATTTCAATGCCTTTTTGTATCATTTCATGCCACACTACATGGTTTTCTGAATGGTTGCCGCCCCATCCTTTTCCTTGAAGCGACATCCTGCAAATCCAAGTACCAAGAAAGTTTGTTTACAGCAACTGCATTGGATGGCAATGATGGTTATTTCCCTGTTGCATTTGCTATTATAGATGTTGAGAATGATGATAATTGGCACTGGTTTTTGGAGGAGTTGAAATTATCGTTGTCAACTCCACAATCCATTACTTTTGTCTCAGATAGAGAGAAGAATTTGAAAAAAGCAGTGCTTGAGGTATTTGAGAATGCCCACCATGGTTACTCCATGTACCACCTAATAGAAAGCTTCAAAGAAAATTTGAAGGTTCCATTTCATGGTGATTGGAAAGGTTCTTCACTTGGTAATTTTGTGGCTGCTGCGCATGCAGTCAGATTCAGTGGTTTCACAGAGTTCACTGAGCAAATTAACCAGATCTCTTCAGAAGCACACAATTGGGTCATGCAAGTTGAGCCAGAGCATTGGACGAGTGTGTTCTTTAAAGGTGAGCCCTATAACCATATTACACAAGATGTTGGTGAGTCGTATTCCAATCTGATGGAGGAAGTGCAGGAAGCCACCATAATACAGAAGATCGAAGCCCTAAGATGTATGATGAGTGAGTTGATGAAAAATCGTCAAATGGATTCAAGCAAGTGGTCTGCCAAACTTACTCCAACCAAAGAGAAAAAGTTACAAGAAGAAAACCTTAAAGCACGGGGTCTGAAAGTATTGATCTCAACGGATACCTTATTTGAGGTTTGTGATGATTCCATTCATGTTGTGAATACCAATGGGTGGGATTGTACTTGCCTTGAGTGGAGAAGAAGTGGATTACCATGTCGCCATGCTATTGCAGTCTTCAACCGTATAGGTAGAAGTGTATATGATTACTGTCCAGAATACTTCACAGTCGATAGCTTCCATTTGACATATTCTCAGTCCATTAATTCTGTAGCTGGCATTGGCATGCCTGTAGAAAAAGAAGAGACTGATTCAGAAAGTGCACATGTACTTCCTCCTTACCCCTCTCGACCACCTATCCAACCGAAGAAGGAACAGGAACGAATCAAAACAGTGGAAGCAAATAAAAGGACTGTTACTTGATCTAGGTGCAAGGAAGCAGGTCACAACAAATCTACATGTTAAGGCTTTAGAAGGGCAACCCCTGGAAATGGACAATGCAGGTTCGAGCCTGAGCAACCCAAAGGCTATCGAAGTGCAACCCTGTCCAGTGGACATTGCAGGGCCCCTATGAGGACAGCGCAGGTTCAGGCCATGGCAGCCCAAAGGCTATAGAAGTGCGAGCCAGCGAAGCAGGCAAACACAGATTTCAGTCACGGCAGCGCCAAGGATGTGAAAAAGCAACCCTGCGAGGTGGACAAAGCACAGAGTCAAGCCACGGAAAACCCAAGATTGTAGAAGAACCACCCTGCGAAGTGGACAATGCAGGTTCAAGCCACGACAGCCCTGAGGATGTAGAAGTGCAACCTTGCGAGGCAGACGATGCACGTTTGAGCCATGGCAACCCTTAGGTCGTAGAAGTGCAACGCTGCCAAGTGGGCAACACACGTAGCAAAGTGGACAACGTAGGTTTGAGCCGTCAAAACTCCGAATGCAAACTGGGCAGCAGAAGTTGTTAAATGGACAAAGCAAGCTGGATCACCAGAACTACATTTAAAGGCACAGAAAGGGTTCATCACCAGGACTACAATCCATCATCTTGTAAAAACATGGCTTTAATGCTACTTACCATCATATACAGATAGTTAAGGATGATACATACATAATACACTTTTTACTACAAAAACAATGGGAAAGCCTGCAAAAATATGCAATGTCAAACTTCTAGCCTGCAAAGCAGCGGCATTAGTGTACATTAGTTGCCTAATTTTCCATCTATATATCCTATTTATGTGCCAAGCAGCCAAGTTATTGATCTTCTGCTTACAAAGTCAACATTTGTAGAATCACACCAGGCCTCTTGATGCATCAACGGTCGACCTGTGTGAGCAGGCTGAGACACAACGGGCAGGCTGGATCCCGTCTATCTTCATGGCATGTTCTCTGTTCCAAACAATCAGCGTGGTAAACATGACCGCAAACTAAAACAGCCACAACAGAGACATCACCAGACGATAATGTGTTTCCGAGAATAAAAGGTTTCCTTCTCAACCGCTTCTGACATACTCCACATTCCATCTTCCCCACATCAGGTGCAACGGCATCCATTGCCAAGGAACTGGTTCTGACTCTCTCTGGTCTGCGAAAAAATTTGTCCCAACTCTCTGAAAGGAATCAAAAAGTAAAAAGAGACAGACAGAGACAGAGAAAATTCACAAGGGAACAATGCAAGCTGCTAAGTATTCATATCTTAGACTGAGCTGATAGTTGATTCAAACAACACAGATGGCATCGCTCTAACGTTTGAAGAGCATTCATTTATGTCTGGGAAAATTACACTTTGACTCCCTCGATTATGACATTTTTTCTCACATTGCCCCCTAAACTATCAATTTTCTTACAACCTTCAACTATGTTATTACTCATTAGTTTCATATTTCCCCAATGGTTAACATTAGTTACAAATTTGATAGGAAGTTGTCATTTTGCCCTAACACGCCGCGCTTGGGACAACATGAAATCACAAACGCAATATGAAATCAATTCAAGTAGTTGAGCAACCAATGTGACGAATTCAATAGATCAAGGGACAAAGTGAAATCAAACCCATAGTTACAGGATCAAAGTTTAATTTACCCTTTATTTCGATCAATAAAAGGTCTAAGGTTATCCATCATTAATCAATGCAATTCCTAATCTCTGTTGGAAGTTTACTAGGTGCAAGGCAGATACACGTGCTGCAATAATCACATCTTGTGCATAAGTTTGGAACTAATGAAGTAAAACCACAATTCGAAAGGCAAGAGTATAAATTAAAGAGAACCTGTATGATATCCCGAGTCTGATTTGCACAGACTGGCCAGCTTGGAAGATGATTGTTCATCATGCAAAGCACCCTTTCCACGAGAAGTTGATGTTTCAGCATGGTTGGCAGAGTTTCGCCGAGAATAATGACGGCCGTAAAAATAATGTGGATGCCTCAATAACATGGCACTGCTATGATTGTGATGGTGATGTGCATGAGGATGCTGCACATTTGATACCTTCAAGGAACTATTCATGATATCCATAATGGATGAGGGAGGCTTGATGGAACTATTGTCAACTGAATTAGAAGATTTCTGCAAGCACAAATAGATTTATAAAAAAAAATGTCTCTGTGTGTGTCTGAGAGAGAGAGTATAGAAACCTTTACAAACATTACAGGCCCAAATTGGAGTAAAATTACGTTTTTTTGGTTCTTTTGTCTTTTGCCATTTCAAAAAAAAAAATGATAAATTAGAAGTAAATTATTGGTAGAAATGCTCAATGAGATTGTTAGTTTTAGGGTAAAATGTAATCAGGTCCCCTTATTTTGTCAAAACAACACGGGGATTCCCCATTGGCCTTTTCCAGTTGATTGCAAATGTCAGGATATTGCCGTGTTATTTTGACAATACTCAGGCGGTTAACATGCAATTTACCTATGATTTTAATGCGAGGATAAAAAGGCATAAGAGAATTAACAACTCCAATAAGCCAAAATCATTTGCCATGAAAATGGTACAGTACAACTGACCTTTTCACATAATGTATCCGCATAAAAACCATATCGCATGAGGTCTGCAAGATAAACAAAACATTATGATCAGCTCATTTTTCTTTGCTCTTAAATAGAGCTATGTATGCTTAAGGTTTCACTGCCTAGTGCACCGGTATCATGCTGAGGCTAACAATTATAATGTTGTGAATTCAAACACGAGGATAGCCATTTTGTACATAATGTCAAAAGTTAAAGACAGTCCCTCTGAGCACCCTCGGTTAACAAAGATGTTTCTGTATTAAGTGAACTTAGTCATATCAGAATATAACAGAACTACAAGCAAAGATCACATGCTCAATCACTCCAAGTATCCATTGAGAAAAGCAAAAAGAGAGAAAGAAGACAAGAAAATGATTAAAAAAAATTTGCTCCTTTATGGAGTAAAACAATTTTCTATGAAGTGTACAGGTTTTTAAAGGAACAAGTAAGTGCCACAAGAAAGTTATTAATACAGGAATGCTACAGGAAAGTTGAGTGTTATTTTTTTTAACGACAAGGTATAAATTTTGGAATATGATCAGTTTAAAACAACAGAGTTAGAGAATAGTAGACACGAAGCAGGACTAGCCAAACAATAAAGAGAAGGGGAAGAAAAATAAGGGGAAATGAAGGTTACATTTTAAGGGCATTAAATAAGAAAAAAGGCCAAAAATGAAAAGAGGAACCAAGAGAAATGTGGATATGATATAAACATAACAAGATTTAAGGATGCAGGCACATAAAATACAAGTTTAAAACCATAAAGAATTCCAGTAGAAGGATATCCAAGGATGACCTCTCCGAATTTGCAATAGGGGGTCATTTCATTGATGGACGAAAAAGGCACCTCCAGAATAACCAACAAGGGTGACTATCAAGAGTATTTGAAACTCGATTTTAGAAACATTGCTCACTGGTTTAATTCAGCTAACACTCATTAAATTGTGAACAAAGACAAAACAGAAATTTATGTATTGAGGATAATCAAAAGGCTCTGGGAAAATGTTTGATGGGCCTATATATTTTTTTCTTCTTGAAATTTATACTTCTACTTTGAAACAAAGATGAAACCTCGTAGACATTCACAACTTAAAAGTTATTTACTGTGGCTGCAACAAAAGGGACTACACTACCACAAGCAATTTGAAGTTATGTGGACATGAGAAAGCTTCTGATGCCATAGTTCACAAATCATTGATCATAGAATCACTTCAACATCGTACAACTATACAATCACCGAGTTGCAAAGACTCCAATGCTATAAATCCACTTTTTTCTATCAACCCATCTTGCATCTATACAATCTTTAACATGGTATGTCAAATCACCAACAGCACAAAAACAACTGCCAAAGTTCAATTCTTTATAAAGTACTTCTCCTGCTTTGAAAAGCAAAAGGAAAAAAATGGATTACTCATTCAACAATGTCACAATTTTCCGAATGATGGCAACTAAATTAGCAGATTAGATTGACTAATTCTTGAAAAGAATACACAAATGACACGAAATATTACTAGGAATAATAAAAGAATCCGTTAGTTTCTCATTATGTCTATATGATGAATTAAATAGAATAAGCATGATCCGAACACGACAGTGGCCAACTAAAACCCTAATTTCCTGCCAATAAAACACACATTACAAACTTTCATGACCACATGTATAACCCAAACAACTATTCATCTTGCATAAAAACTTCAACAAAGAGACACCAACCCAAAACAATATCAGATAAAAATGGTGTAAAGAGAACGATAATCAAAACCCTAAAGAAAGAGTTCAAAAGAAAAATGACAGTAACGTACCAGCAGAAGGAGGAGGAGGAGTCTTGTTTTGGTCAGCTCTTCGCTTTCTCTTCCCCATGAACTGTATGTGAATCAAAATAAATATGAATTATCAATTACTATGTTTCCCTGAAATAACTTTGAGTATTAATGGCTATAACTTTTATGATTAATGGCTATGGAACCACCAGGTTTCTGAGGGAAAAGGGTCAGTGGATTTGCGATGACGGAGCAGGAGAGACCGGAGGAACGGTCAAGAAATCTAGGGAGAGAGAGAGAGAGGGGTTAATCTTGAAACATGGAGGAGAGAAAAGGGAAAGGAGAAGACGTGGGAAACTTTGATGCGGCGATCCGTAAAGGATAAAAATAAATAAAAACATAATAATCTAAGGGTTAATTGCAAATTATATCCCGAAAGATCGTTTGAATCTCAATTATACCCTCAAAAATAAAAATTTAAATCAATATGCACCCCAAAGATCAAAATTCTCAAATTGCACCCTGAAAAATAGAAATTTGTATCAATATGTATCTAAAACTAACTGTCGTCAATTTGTTGCTTAAAACAAAATTGATAAATTATACATAGATCCCCTCATGCTTGTCACTTAATCATTTAAACTACTTCACAAAATAAAATGGAATATGAAATTATAATTTTTTATTATGATAAAATTATATTTTTTAACGGTTATAAAATCCTAATAAAAATACTCTCAATCTAAAATGTCCCCCCAATTGGGCATTCAAATAATTATGTTTAAGTGATACATTACATTGGATATAAAAAATATTATATAAATACCTACATATTATTGGACATTCAAATGGTAAGCTTGATTTTGAATTTTAGAGTATATCGGACTCACAAAATAAAGAGTAATATGAAATTATAATTTTTTATTATGATAAAATCATATTTTTTAACGGTTATATTAACAGATATCAATGAAAATGAGTTACGTATTACACGTGTACAAACGTCATGAGATGTAAGAGTAATATTCTAAATGTGAAGGGGTCCAAATGATTAAGTAACAAGCATGAGTGTATTTAGGTATAATTTATCAATTTAATTTTAGGCAGCAAACTAACGACGGTCAGTTTTAGGTGTGCATTAATACAAATTTTTATCTTTGAGAGTGCAAATTGAGATTTTTAATCTTTAGAGGTACACACTGATACAAATTTCTATTTCTTGAGGGTGCAAATTAAAAAATTTTATCTTTAAGAGTACAAATTGAGATTTGAACGATTTTTCAAAGTACAATTTACAATTAACCCATCTATTAAACACAAAAATTTAAGGTTAAAAAATTAATCTTTATAATTTTTACCCTAAATATACATATATATAATAAACAACTTTCAAATTAAAAAATTTAATATTCAATACATAAAATTCAACATTTAATTTCCACAAATACCACCTAAGTTATCTAACTATATATATATATTTTGGGTTCAACGATGAGGGTTATCCGAACCAGCTTACGCGTATTTTGACTAATCCTCTCTCCAGTGCAATCAAAAACAAATTATCCATGTCGAGACTAAAATATTCTATATATTTCATGATCTGATTCCAAAGAATTGTCGAGGAAACTTAAAACGTATGAGTTTACCGTTCATCTTTATTATCACTTAACTATACATTAAAGTTAATTACCTAGCTATTCCGACAACTGTTAATCTATCATATAGTAACCTCTCCTTTAATATAGCAAGTGACCATTTTTTTTAATTACCTCAAGTTTAAATAAGGGTTATATTTTATTTTTGTTTTTGGAACTCAAGATATATGTAATGTCATTAATTACGTAGGAAAAGATTACAATAATGAAAGTAATGAACATATTGAATGCATCATATATAGTAAATTTGGGGAGTTTATATTATCAACAAACTATTACAAGTAAAGTTGATAATTGAATTGAATTATTTGAGATAGACTTAAAAAAGCGAGTCAAGTTTAAATAATTTTTAAGTTCGACTTGAGCTCACAAAATTTATCTCGTTTATATATAAGATAAACAAGTCAAACTTAAATAATTTTTTAAATTTGACTTGAACTCGCAAAGCTCAACTCATTTATATATAAAATAAACGCTGGTTATGCCCTAACTACAACTATGAGTTAGGCTTGAGAATTACTACAAAGTATTGAATTTAAGATGTACAAATATGGGTCCCCTATCAGAGTTAGCTCTATATTACTGTGCTATGCTATGTACGAATAGTAAGATGTCCATTTTAAAACAGATCACAAACCCACAAAAAGCCCATCAAGAAATAACAATGTGGAAACCTAAGCAAAGCCTATTTAACTTCTCTATGGTCAGAGATTCAGCCGGAGCTCAGGCTAGCCCATCAATAAGCTTATAAGTATGCCCACAATCACAACCCATGGTGTCTCTTCTTTTATAATGGGCCATCAATATATTTGGATACACCAAACCCAAATAGATTTACAAGTGTAATCATGTTGTATAAATACTCAACACATTTCCATAAGACAGAGTTATAGCCTATTTAATAAATGAGTTGCATATAGATTTAGGTTAGTTTCAAGGATTAAAAGTTAAATAATTTATAATATAAATTAGGACAGGTTTCACTAATCTCATCTAACGGTCTTAAATAGACTCATCAAATGGCCACCAACTGAAAGAAATCATATAATAAACGTGGTGGAATTTAAAAATAATAATTTGATTCCTCATACCAAGATTTATTCATGCTTAATACAAACTGAAAAATTTTATGTTTATAGTGAATATTAAAAGTTACATCTTGAAGCGTGTTTTTAACTATCTTCAAGTATTCTCAAAAACTTTGAACCTTCAAATCTAAAGTTGATCTTTAGCCCGAGCCTCGCAAACGTTTGGCCTTTATCAGTATCCACACGAATTAATAAACTTGAAGGATATATCTCAACCATTGATAAACTAGTAGAGAGAGAGAATAAGGGGTGATTCTTTTTTTGCTAGCAAGAGAGTTGTTATATCTAATATCCACCTCCTACATAAAAAGGTATTTATAGAGCTTTAAATATATCAATCCTAGTTTGGGTCAAGTTGCAACTATCTCATAATTATATATAATCCCTTTATTAACAATTAATTGTAATAAAATTTCTAATTAACTCTTAATTATGTTTTTACCCTAATTAACTCTTAATTGGTTGTCTCTCATTTGTCTTTTAGTTTCCAATCAATTCTACTGTGTGTGACTCTATAGGTTTAAACATACCCGGTTGTAGGCATTCGATACAAACTACAAGTAGCATCTCCAATTAGAATTTTTTCTAATTTAACTTGAATTTGAACTCTTCTAATTCTCCCTTTATGAAAAATAATTAATATATTTATATTATTTTCATCCTTCGGACTTCTATTAATCATGAGTGACACATAGAAGCATGTCATGATCAATCTCTAGACAACATGAAGTAGGTAACAAAATCATTCAGTCTACAGTTACCATGCAATTCAATCCTTCTACCATACAATGTACCAATTAAATTACTAGGGTACGAAATTATTGTCAAACCTCTAGCTCAATCTTATGTGTTAGATCTTTGAATTATGATTCTTAATGATCAATTATAAACCATTTTTCTAATTGTCGTTCTGCCTTGGCCAAGGTCTCCTTGGGTCATATCCCAGAATAACACATATGACATTCTCCATTTATTTACTAAGGATGATAGATTTTATGTTGTACACTCATAAAGTCTTCATACATATCTAATTATGTCCAACAATACACATCCAAGTTATATGGTTAATATATGAATATGTTGTATAGTCAAAATATAGAAGTCCATGCACAAAACAATCGTAGTGTCTCAAGTCTAAGAATCATTTGCATAACTATAATTTAAAGATTTAACATTGATAGGTATGTAAAACTTCATATAAAAAATCTTATGTTAGTCAATGGTTATGTTCAATGTACTTGTTCTCTAACAAGCACCCACAAACTCTTGCTTCATTGTCCCTACACTAGTGACTTTGACAAGTCGCCTCATATCAAATATGAGTAAAATAGTGTGTCAAATATGAGTAAATATAGTGCATGCTAGTCTATCTAGATTACGTAGTGCCCACATAGTAATCCTATAATTATGAACATTTAAAAGTTAAGTACTAAAAAGTATATGTCTCTTCTTCTCAACTCATTGAAAAACTATCTTATTAACTTATACTTTATGTATTATATCATGTACATTAAAATGAAATTAGCCAGTAACATAATAAATAAGCTTGCCCTTTTATTTAATTAAGTAATAAATATTGCTATTATAACCTTAAAACATCATCTATATAATGTCTTAGAACATACTACTAACATTAACATCTCTCTCAAAATCATTCACGTTTGCACCGTAATTTTAAGCACAAGTTACTCCTGGCGCATAACTAAAACAAATAAGTTAAACAAATTTTAAATTAGCAACACTATGTTACTTAAATTTAAGATCTCAAAAGACATCTTAAATCAATAAGAATCGTTGAATTGAATTGTATAGCATTTTTCCTTTTAAACAGGGCATGCCAGTTTTATCTAAATGGCACGATGTGACACTAGTGTTGGACAGGTATATTCCATTAGCTGATATTACGAGAAGAAAATGAATATTATTTTGTTATTTATTTCTTGATTAATGTAACTTAGTTTATGATTAAATAACTTCAATTAACACTAGCTGACATGCACGATATGACTTGAAATGGAATATGATCCTGACACATTTTGATTGACACTCCTAAATTTTTTTACAATGTATCAATTTTATCTATTACACTTGTCCAATAGATTAACATTAAAAACCCAACCTGACGACACCTACTTTATCAATGTATATCAATTCAAACAGAACACAGACATAGTTAATAAATTATATTCTATCTCTTTCTAAATATCTGTCGTTTAAATTTTTTATATAAGGATTAAGAAAGTTATTAAATAACTCTAATATGAGTAAAAAATAATTGTACAAAATTAAAATATCCTTATTCAATACGTATTGAGAAGAAAAAAAATATAAAAGATACTTAGCCTCCATCTAATCTAATACATTAAAAAGTTAAGGGTAAATTTGAAAGAAAAAATATTAATTATAATTTAATTTTATTAAATGTCAGATATTATGAAATAAAAAAAATTATATAAAATAACAAATATTTAGAAACGAGGATTATTCAAATTCAAAAACTCCATGTCAAGTCCTTTGTTCACACTGTGGGTCACCTTTGTTGGGTCAAACCCATGAACTGCCCAATGAATTGGACTCTTCAAGTTCTCTGACTACTAAT